CTCTCTCCCTATTTATTTCAGAACCCCCTTCCCCTCCCCCATTTCTGATGAAGGGTCTAGGCCCGAAACGTCAGCTTTCCTGCTCCTATGATGCTGCTTGGCCTGCTGTGTTCATCCAGTTCTGCACCTTGTTGTCTCGGATTCTCCAGCGTCTGCAGTTCCTACTATCTCTTGTTTTAGTAGGAGTTTGTTTAAATTATGTGCTCAAGACTGCAACATTACAATATTTTGAATAGTCCATCTCTGGTGGCAACTGAGACCCAAATGTAGTCTCCAAATGTGGGCTTTGTGGGTGGCGATGTAAAAATGGCAGAAAAAGATTAGCTGCTGAACTAACAACATTGCTCCCAAGGATAGTGTATTTGGGTTATGATCAGCGGTGATCAATGAAAGTTATCGATCATTATGGTATAGAAGTGTTTTGACCAACCTGTTCAGATGTGCCACTAACAGCTCTGAAGCAGGTCGGACTTGAACTGGAGCCTCCTGACTCAGAGGTAGGAGTACTCCCACTGCATTACAAGAGCTTCGCATTCTAGTATGTGTTTGCTTGGTAATTTTTGTAAATGTATTGTTTCAGCGATGGTAACTCTGAAAAATGAGTAAGTGGTTAGCTTGATCTTTCAGCACAAGATGTAGAAGCTTTATCCAACAAAAAAAAAACCCTATAAGGTCTAATTTCACCTTTCCTCTACCCTCCCCTGACCTTGTTCAGCCTTCAACCATGTATGCATTCATTCTGTGCGGCATGTTACTCAGGCTGGATGGAGCGTTCGTCACTTTGCCCAACTTGCCGTTGTCCTGTTGAACGCATCAGCAAGAACCACATGGTGAATAATCTGGTGGAGGCTTACCTATTGCAACATCCAGGCAAGTAATTGCTGTGTTAAATTCATGTGCACAGATTTGTTTGTGTTAGAATATATGATATCACATATTCCAGGTGTTTGATATTATGTGATTTGGGAGAGAGGGAGGAATCTTGGACATGAATTACAGCTTTCAGCTTTAAGATCTATGGAAAGCAAAATTGTAAAGTCATTCATACCTTGCTCTTGGTTATTAGTCACTGATATTGGTAGTTACTTGAATTTTCTCAGTGCATGAATCAAGACTGCAGAAGTTTTTTAAAAAAAAAAAAAACCTCTATCTTGAAGAAACTTGTATTTCATGTAGGGATTCTGTTGCTAAGTCAGAAATGGCTGTGTGTGAAATCATGCTCTGTCATTTTGAGTAACCAACTGGTCAAAATGAATGTGAGAAGCAAGATTGTTTCCAATTTGGTTCATTCTGTTGAATTTTGCAGAACATTGTCAATTTCACAGATGTAACTTTCCATTACCGGATTGGAATGTAATTCTGAGAAAGATGTAAATTGTCAGTAGGAAATAATGCAACAAACAAGAAGAAATACAATTTTAAATTGTCAGAGTGGAAAATGTTATCTTGTCAGAAAACGTGCCATGTGTGCAAATTTCTTAACAGAAATCGGTAATCTTGTTGTCCCAGTCATATTTCTTGCTTGACTTATCTGAAAATTTCTTTGCTTGTCTGAGTGGAAGAGGAAAAGAAAATATTGGACCACAAGACACCTGTCAAAACTGTGCTAGATTATGATACTAGTTTGGTGATTTATTTTGGCCATGTTTGTGTATGAATTACTATTTCAGAGAAGTGTCGTAGTGGAGATGAACTGCAAAGCATGGATGCCAGAAATAAAATCACACATGACATGTTACAACCTAAGATTAAGCGGTCATTCTCTGATGAAGAGGTCAGCTCCGAGGATTTTCTGGAACTGTCTGATGTTGATAGTGAATCTTCTGATTTTAGGTGAGTTTTTGAAAGATCTGCTGTTGTGTGCCAGAGGAAATGCATGAGGAGCAGATGATCCCTTATAAAAGGGCATAATTGTTGATTAGTATTCATGCTAACGTTTAAGGATTCCTAAAACAAGCAAAATAATTGGAGCAGTGACTAAACAGCAGTGAATGTCCTGCTTTGTAATGAATTATTGGCCCTTTACAAAGTGGTGGGCATCCTTGGAAAATACAGCCTGAAAATTCAGTATTCACAGTTGAGCAAATGTTATTGCAAAATACACAGACATAATTCAGGCCATGTTCTTGTAATGCTTCAGCTGTCGTGTTGCATATATTCACCTTTTGAAATGAATAATGGAGGGAAAAACCTACAGTTCCCTTCCGGTCTTCTCCTGAAGCTGTTGCTACTTTGGTTTCCAGGTTTGACAGTGCTGGTTATGTGCCATGTAAGCTGACCTAAAGTGTGTTATCAGAATTTGGAGGGTTTAGCAGTGATTTGATTGAGCATCTTTTTTTTTAGGGTTTTGAAATAAAATTATAGGGTTGATAGTGAAAAGCCTTTTCTGCTGATGGGATGAGTCTCTGAATTTGAGCTTATGCGCTTTTGTCAATCAGGTCATCAGGGGAGAATTAGCAAACACTTTACCACTGTGTGAAGAAGAGTGGAGCAGACTTTCTCAAAAAGCAGTAGATGTTTGCTCAATTCATTATAAATCTCCGATTTTGCTGCCAACAGAAGAAAAGGATATGGAGCAAAATGGGTGGATGGAGCTCAGAGCTATCAAGGAGTCATTATATGGTGAAACAAGCTTGAGGGGCTGAATGATTCTCCTGTTTCATTGCAAGCATTGGCATTGGGTGTCATCAGACCAATTAGTCATGGGAGCACTGTGCCAAGGATTGATTCTGTTCCTGCCCAATGTGTTCAAAGTGCATTATGTAACTGATAACGATGAGGTGTGGTGTCACTGAATAGCAGTAAGGGGACTCTCGGGATGGTGTATTTTCTTTTGATCTACCCTCCCCCATATCCAGGGCACTGAAGCTAGCTATTTTTTTGCAGTTTTGAGTCTTGGTCAAGATCCACTAATTTGCTATAGACTAAGGAATCCTGGGGTGAGTGGCTCAGCTGCTTAATGAACAAATTTAATAAGATAATTGCATTATGTAGTACCTTCCACACACTCGGAATGTCACAAAACTCCAGGATAATTTGTTTATAGTGTAAATGTTGGTCAGGATGCAGGGACAAACTCTCCTGCTCTTTAGTTAGTGCCATAGATATTTTTTACTTTTACCTGAACCAAATGTCATTTTAACCTGTCGTCTGAAGGGCATGTGATTGAACAGCAATCTCTCAGTACAACACTGGAAGATCAGCCTCTGCGTGTTCTCTGCAACGGGGCTCAAACTTTCTGGCTGGAGTTCCAAATTGGTACCAACTGACAGTTTGAATAAAATTACTTGAGGTACTATTTCAGTTTATTTTGAGTGTGTGATGGATCAGCTTTTTAATGGAGAAAGAAGACCTGAAACGTGAGTGTGCAGAATGAGAAATGGAGATATAAATACAAAGAGAACTGATTTCTGATTGGATTAATTGATTATAATAAATTGCTTCTGAATTTATTTTCTTGGTGCTCCTTAAGAGTTGCACAAACTCTACAGTAAAATTTAAATACACTTTGCTATCTCTCCATGGTTGACTGCATTTTGTGTTTCTATCTATTTTCAGTCAGCCACATATTCTCTGCAGGCAGTGTCCTGGATACCGGTCTGATAGCAATCAGTCTACTTTCTTGCCAGGTTTCAGAATGACTACTGATGCCCCATCAACTTCCACCAGCATCCCTGTTGGTAAGTGTCTATTAACCATAACTGACAATACTGCAATTACAGTTACATAACTCTAAGCACAGCTTTGAATTGCTTGCTTAACTACACAGTTTAATTTTTTTTATATTCACTGGGGATGTGGGTGTCATTTATTGTCCATCCCTAGCTGCACTTGAGAGGGTAGTGGTGAGCTGCCTTCCTGAACTGCTACAGTCGACATGCTGTAGGTTGACCCACAATACCTTGAGGAAATGTCAATATTTTGACCCAGCGGCAGTGGAGGAATGGCAATATATTTACGAGTCAAGATGGTGAGTGGCTTGTAGGAGAATTTGCAGGTGGTGGTGATCCCCTGTATCTGGTGCCCATGTCCTTTCAAATGAAAGTAGTTCTGGGTTTGGAAAGTGCTGTCTAAGGATCTTTTGGTGAATTTCTGCAGTGCATCTTGCAGACAGTATGTACTGCTGCTAAGCGTCAGTGGTGGAGGGAGTGGATGCTTGAGGATGCAGTGCCAATCAAGCAGGCTGCTTTGTCCTGGATGTGTTGTCAAGCTTCTTGAGTGTTGTTGGAGCTGCACCCATCCAGGCAAGTAGGGAGTATTCCATCACGGTCCTGACTTGTGCCTTTTTACATGGTGGCCAGGCTTTGGGGAGTCAGGAGGTGAGTTACTTGCCGCAGTATTCCTAGGCTTTGATCTGCTCTTGTAGCCCCTGTATTTATGTGGATGAGCTTCTGGTAAATGGTAACTCCCAGGATGTTGATAGTGGGTATTTCAGTAGTGGTAACACCATTGGACGTCAAGGGGTGGTGCTTGGATTGTCTCTTATTGGAAATGGTCATTGCCTGGTATGTGTATGGTGTGAATGTTTGCATTGTTTGATTTCAAGTGGATGTAATTTAATGGGTTTATGTTTTGTCTTTTTTTATAATTTCCAGCTCGGTGTGTTTGTTAATTAACTTGACCTGTAGACGCAAAAATGTGGAAGATTAGACTGAAGATGAAGAAGAAAGAAATAGGATATACTAATGGGGTGACATGGAGTAGGGCAAAATGAGGCTTATGTGAGGTCTAAACAGCAGTATGGAGAATCTGATTGAAATTATCTGTTCCTGCTGCACGTTTGATGTATAGTGTTTCCTTAGAGGGGCCGGCAATGAATTTACTACTCAACTAATCTTGTATCACAAACTAATTGGCTAGAAAACATGGGAGAGAAAGTCAGCTGTCTGTTGGCAGCTGAGGAACAAATTCATAAGTGCCAGAAATCTAAACAAAGGAGAAATCTGTGAAAATGATGTGAAAGGAGAGGACAGAACCTGATTGTGTTTGGTGAGCCAAATTTGGCAGTGTGTGTCATGGCATGAAGATTTTGTGACTGATACACAGTATTCCTGGCTGTAATTTGTCCCAGTTTAATCATCAGTGTAAAAGTCAAGGTTTTAAAAGACCAGAGAGCACAGAGCAAGCTGTCTCAATGGGAAGTGTGGTCTTTGTTTGGACAACTGTTATAAATATGAATACAGATTTGCATCATGGGATGCATGAAACAGAATGAGAGAAAATTTGTATATAGAATGTTTTCAAAAAGTTTCTGGAAAGCAGTGCACAAATAAGAGATGAGACAAAGGTCGTAACGTGAGTGGAACTGGATGCTAACCTAGTTAAGTGACCCAACGTTTAGACCCCTCATTTATTTTAAGAACTGTATTTTTGAAGATCTTAATAATGCACGTCAACAACAGGACTTGGATTTTGCAATGATTAGATTTTAAGTTATTTTAACTTTTGATATTTTAGCTTTTTTGAATACTTGTTTACCTGTCATTTGCTCTGAGTAGCTGCCCAATTCTGATTTAACATTAAATCAAAGCCACATTCAAAACTAGTTGTACTGACATGTCAGATGTGATAAAGTCATGAAGATAACATTGCAGGAGGAACCCATTTACTCCCTCCTGCTGATACCTATATACCTCGTTTAATCTTGTTTCACAGCATCCTTTTAAAATGTTAATCATTTGTAATCATTTTACATAACTGTTGAGAGATGCAAAAATGTAGATCATAAATAATATTAAACAGAATTCTAGATTGACTTGACTTTTAATTAATTATAGCTATAATTAATTAACTTTCTCTAACGTTGTTATTACTTGTGAATGAACAAACTGATTTAAATACAATCACTATTTTGCTTTGTACTTTAATTAACTGTGAACAGTGACTGCTCAGATTACAGATAATGATTACTCATTTGACTAGTTGATGAAATCAGATTCTCATTTATGTTTTAGATATTTTTGTATTCAGCAGTGAACTCGTATGTTTTTCTGATCTCTGCCTTGTGAATTACTTTGTCCATGTCCAAAACTTGTTAACTGTATCTTTGTCTTTGTCTTTGTTAAAATATTTTTTAAGCTGTCCAGGAGTACACCTGCCCTGCTCGAGGTCTTCACTTGATTTGCACTTGCTGTTTTCAGCCTATGCCTGACCGGAGAGCAGAGCATGAACAGAATCTGACAATTACACCTCAGCAATGTAAGTGGTCATCTTGCAGAATTCTTAAGTTTTTTTTTAATGAATTGCCTGGCTGCTTTGAAAAAAGGTTATAGGGCCTCACTCACTGATATCTTTGGCTCAGCTCCCTTTTCAACAGAGTTCCAGGTCTTGTTCAGGGTCCATAAGACTAAGAAATAGGAAAAGGGAATAGGTTGTTTGGCCCCACGAGCCTGCTCCTCCATTCAATAGGTTGATGGCTGATATGACATTCTTCTTGTCTACTTTCCTGCCCTTTTCCTCTAACCTGTGGTTCCCTTACTTTATCTCAGCCTTAAATATACGCAAGGACTGTACCACCATAGCTATCTGTGGCAAGGGGTTCCACAGACTCGCAACCCTCAGAAGACATTCCTCCTTATGTCAGTCTTAATTTGGCACCCCTTTTATTCTGAGACTCTGCCTTCTGGTCTTAGACTCCCCCATGAGAGGAAACACCCTCTCAGCATTTATGCTGTCAAGCCCCTCTAGAATCCTATATTTTTCAATTAGATCACCTCTCATTCTTCTAACCACCAGTAAGTAGGATCTTTGTTCATGAGACAATCTCTCCATGCCAGGAATCATCCCAGTGAACCTTCTCTGAACTGCCTGTAATGATATGATATTTTTCCTTAAAAAAGGAGACCAAAACTGCTCACAGTATTCTAGATATGATCTCACCAGCAATAGGTCCTAGGACCTGAGCACAAACAAGGTCTTCAGTTTGTCTGAATCTTTCACTAGAAGTTGTATTTTTAATGATGTGGTTAGTGTACTCCAGCTTGTTTAAACCTTTCCCTGATCTGGAAGTGTAGTGTATTTTCATTCTGGAATGGAATTGTTTAAGCTTGTTTGGTCTTCATTGATCTGGTGACCAATGTCATTTTATATCATAGGTCAGTTGAAACCAAACAATTCTTAACTGGGTGTTCATTTACAGATAATTTAATACTAACAGTAAAGTGAGGGCAAAACAAAAATTTAATGTTTGGTCACAGTGATGTAGCATTTTCTTACGAAATCATAGAACAATGCAATATAAAAGAAGCCAATGTATCTGTTTGAAAAGCTCTTCTATAAAGCTAACCAGTTATCCCTGATCTTTCCCCATAACCCTACAATTTTATTTTACTCTTCAAATTTTTAACCAGTTCAATTTTGCAATTTGTTATAGGATCTACATCATTTTAAGGCAGCAAATTCCTGAACATTTCTCCTCATCTTGCTACTTTTTTGCTAAATGTGATTATTTTTAAAAGGGTAGTAAAAGGATAAATCTAAGTTACTTTAAGTTGTAACTCTGTTATAACAGAAGGTTACGTCTCAAATGTACAATGCATTCATTTCCCACTTAAAAAATTCAAAACTGATCTCTAACAGTGAGGGAATAAACAGATCAGCCTATGGTTTTAAAACCTTAGGTCCTGATCTACACTAAAATGTTATTTTGTGTAGAAGCTTACGGTGAAATCTGTTTTCAAAGCAAATGAGCCTTGCTTCATGGAACTGCCTCAGCCTAAACAAATGCTCTGTTCAGCCTTTCATATCACTGTTAACCTATAATAACATAATAGACAAGTAATTCTGAAAATGTGTCCTTCGTTCCAGGCACGATTTGTTTGCGGCCCTTCTGCCACATGTACTGGGGCTGCACTCGAGTGGGATGCTCTGGCTGCTTGGCAAGATTTTGTGGTAGATACGTTCTCTTTTATACATTTTCTTTCATACATTTTAAGAAAGTCCTTTTAGTACAATACAAAGATGAGACAGTAAAGTGGGTTACTTTATTTAGACTGATCATACAGGAACAGTTGATTCTCGGCTAATAGTTTAACATCATTGTGTCAGTAAATTCTGCAGTTCAGACACAGTATTTTTGACTGGTGACTGTTGATTCTTTTTTCCCCAGTGTTCTTGTCAGGACTGTAGAATTTTGATGTGTCTAACCGTGATTGTGTCTGAGAGTTTTCTCCGATCTCTGGGAGGATGACTGTCTCTTTCATTTGCAGTTCCAGTGGATTTGGAAATGGCTGATCAGTCCAGTGTGTAATCTTCAAGCTTTGCCACATATGTGGCAAGTTGTGCTTCAGGGTTGAGTAGATAATTTGTTTTGGAGGTTTTTCCCCTTCCTCCAATGCCTCCAATTTGCCTCTGCATCTTCCTGATAAAGTTTCTATGCCTTTTGTGCCTTCTCACATGAGCCACTTTCACTTTAGCCAGTCAGGGTCTTGATGAGTCTGCTTGTATTTTAAAAAAAACCTAATTGCTGAAGAAACTCAGTAAGTCTGGTGGTATTTGAGAAGAGCAGAATTAATGTTTTGTGTCCAGTCTGACTCCTCTTCAGTTATGTTTTTCTAACTACAGATGCTGCCAGACCAGTTTCTCTCGCACTTCGTGGTCTTCATTTCAGATTTCCAGCATTTGCAATATTTTGCTTTTATTTGAATGTACTTGTAACATTGACCACATCTGGGATCCTTTAAGTACTTATTTAAAATGTTTCCCTTGTCCTCCTAGGGGTTTCCTGCTATAACCAAGCCCCAAGTCCAGCAATTTGTTCTGAGAACAAAGGGTTCTGAGTTCTGAGGAAGGGTCACCGGACCTGAAACTTTAACTCTGTTTTTTACCTTCACAGATGCTGCCAGACCTGCTGAGCTTTTCCAGCAACTTAGTTTTTGTTTCTGATTCACAGCATCTGCAGTTCTTTCGGGTTTTTCATTTTGTTCTGAGAGTCTGGTATCAGGCATACCACAATGTGTCCCATCTAGTGGAACTGGTTTTGAGTGAATAGTGCCTCAGAGCTGAGCATGTTAGCTTGGAAAAGGATGTTTAGATTGCCTTTCTTGCCTTCGTATTTGAAAGGTTTTGCAAAGGCATTACTTCCCCAGGCTTTGAGATGTCAGTAATCCTAGCTTTTAAAGTGTATAGGAGCACAGGACTCGCTGCAGCTTGGTAACCCGTGCCTTTAATCTCAGGTTTGAGATCCAGCACTCAACATACTCATCTCAGTTGACTAAAGACTGAGCAGTCACATTGGAGTCTATGGTGAATTTCTTAGTTTATGTTTGCCTCTATCAAGAGGAGGCTCCCAAGGTTTGAAAAAACCATCCATCTTTTCTGGAATCTCACCATTGATCTTAATTCTTGTGGGATGGCAAGGATGCTTTGCCATGGGAGTTTATTGGAAGATGTCCTTCGTTTCCTGAGTGTTTAATGAAAAAAGATATTTTTCAAATGCTTTGACAGAGGAGCCAATGATCTGGAACTCACTTTCTGATTGAATGCAAGTATCATTTGAAAACTGTAATGATGACTGAGGTTGGAGTGGTTTTGGTTTTGGATATCCATGCTGACAAATGGAACATTTTCTTTTTCCAATTTCTAAACCTCTTGGATATTTTCAGTACAACAGAAAGCCATTTGGCCCATAGTTCCATGCCAACATTTTTGATAGAACAACATGGAACTAGAATCACTGTCTTGCTCATCTCGATAACCTGTGACCCTAGTTATTTTTTAAAAAAAAAATCTGATGTAAGGCCACTCTCTGGTTTCTGAGGGGCAACCCTATGTGAATATCTTATTCAGTATTTTGATCTATAACTGAACTTAGAGTTTCAAACTGATTGTGTGTAATATTTTTGACAGATGTAAATTTTGGAGAGAAATGTTTGGATGGAATAATAAACAACAACAGCTATGAATCAGATATCCTGAAGGTAAGGTCCCCTCCATAAACAAGCTTCAATTTTTTTAATGCATTCAATTTCTAGGCCTGAATTTGGTTAACCCTGGAGTGCATGTTCTCCATGCTCCAGTTAGGCAGATTGACTGACTGCTGTTTCGCATCCCTTTTATTGCTCATATTGTGGAGAGGTGTTAAAGTGTGACCTGGAGTGACTCTGATATTTCCTGTTCAGTTAGGCAAAAGAATAGGTCTTTGTTATTAGGGATTCTTAATGCAAAGAACTACTGTATGATCTACATCATAATTTTGGTGATAATATTGAAATCATGAAGAAAGTTAGGTATACCTACATCTGGAGGCAATTCAGAGGCAGTTATTGTTTGAAACTAAATGGGAACAGTGTTTTGTGCATTGCATGATCTCTCACAGCTATTCCGAGGAACAGCAGAAAACTTGTTTTAGGCGTTAGTCAAAAAAAGATTTTGGTCAAGACCAGGGAACTCTAACACTTCCAACAGGTCTGTGGGATCTTTAAATTTCCTCAGTAGGATTTGAATCCATCAGACCCAAGAGGTGAGACTGATATCAAATGGGCTAAGCTGTGAGTTCAGTTAGCAGAACATTGTTTTTTTTGATATGTCGTTGCATTCAAGATTTTCTCCTGAGATAGAATGCCAATCCTACCCGAGAGAACAGGCAGGTTAGCTCTCCTAGGCCTTCTATGCTGCTCTATGTCTATATCCCCTCAATGGTGTAAACCTGACTGATCACATTGACTGTTCTTGTGGGCTGTGCAAACAAACTCACCTATTTTTGTTTTTTCAAATGTACAAAACCCAGCTTAACTTTTCTTTTAAAGAATTCGACATTCAGTTAGTGCAGGAGGGTCAGAGCATCCCTTCAACAGGTATAACTTGTATTCATCTAATAGGTGTTACTTAACACCTTTTGAACTCCCATCATGAAATCACAGTTTCACCTTTTTAAAAAATTACTGTCTTGTCTGTTAATCTGTGCTGAACAATCAAAAATGAAATCTTAGACTTCACGCATTTTCAGAGCAAAATAAGTTGAGAACTGGATGCCCCAAACATGCAGCATAATCATGATTGGCATTGCCTTTCAGAATTACCTTTCATCTAGGGGTCTTACTTGGAAAGAGATGCTGCAAGAATGTCTTTTAGCTCTTCAGAGAGGAAAGTTTGTTCTTACAGGTATGTGCAATTATAACTGAAATATTAATGGGATATTGTAAAAACAAATCTTTAAAGAAAGACTTGAATTTTGGTGGCATCTTTCATGACCCCAGGAAATCCCAGAATGCAAATACTTTGCAGGAAATGAAATGCTTAAAATGTAGCCACTGTTATAATTTAGGAAATAGAACAGCCAATTTTCATGTGGTGAGATCCAACAAAAAGAAGTAATGGCATAATGACCAGGTAATCTATTTTATTG